CATCATCGTCGAAACGTCGCAAGTTATTTATTAAAGTAATTGTTATCCATATAATTGTGTTCGTGTTAATATTGGTACAGCTGAATATAAAAGAATCATACACATGGAGCGATACGATGCGAACACGATTCCAGATTTCGTACAATTGTCATCAAGGACACAAATTTCGCACAGAAACTCCACATTTACTGGACTCTCTTGCTGTAACTTAGAAATTTTTTTACTCAGCTATGTAGAACTAAAAAAAATTGGCTGACTCTAGACGTTGTATTTTATATATATACAGCATGTATAGCACAATTGAGTTGTAGATTCCCGCCTAGATTATCCCCGACTTAACCCAATATCATATCCCCGTAAATTGCACAAGCCTATTCGTGTTTTTATTGACATCGTTAGTAAAAACCTGATGAAATGCATAAGAATAATCATAAATTCAAAATCATTATCTGAAACAATAGGCCTAATTAAAAAAAAGACAAAATCGAGGACAATGCTTCGAATCAACTAATTAGCCCTATCAAACTATATAGACTCTAGAATTATGTGCAACTGTTTAATTATTAAATTCTGGCTTGTAACGATTAAATTATGAACGTTATTAAGATTCGTGTGCCTGGCGTTTTGTTGCGGCATTCCTACACCATATTTTAAGGCCACTCTAGGTTAAATAATGGTCTATTGTTTAAGGCACGCGCAAAATGAAAGTTCGGTTTATTTCCAGTTATCGTTTGAGCTCAATATCAGATCCCCCATTTTTTTTAAAAATATATAAATGATTTAACATCTGTCCAATTACAGTAAACAGATGTCCATCTTTGAGATCATTACCCACATTGATCTGTGCCCGAATATTACCCCGGCCTGGCCTAGCTTCTATCTTGAACGGGAATAACAGTAAAGTGTAGCCTATATATTATTGCCATTGGAGTGACTAAAATTAACAAGTGTTGTACAGGCGTTAAATTCTTGTTTTGGAAACGAACAATTTAAATGTTTAGCTGAATAAAATTTTAATGAAGTTCAAAATATATGAAGTGTATAGATACATGTTTATCAAGTGAAAAACAAGTCGTGTGCTTTGTTTCCAAGTCAATAATACACTGATATAGTCAATGAAATGATTTGAATAATAAAGCAACATAGCGGTGACCTATTTTACTCAGATCTAGCTCAATAGATTGTGGGGTATCTAGAAACTGACTCGGGTCAGAATAGTCTAACGCGTGGAGGGTAAATAGTATTTTAAAAACTCTTCATCTTATGACCAGCCACTTTTAAAAACTATTTTATAATAACTGTTTTCAGATATTGATAAATATTTTGTTATTATTTACCAGAGGAAAGCTTATCTTGTATAATCAACTGTATGAAAACAGACATGTTACTGTTATATATTCAGTATCTTGCTCTAAAATCTGTTTATAACTGAAACTCTCGGTATAATGAACCGACGTGGGCGTCTCAACTGCGAAATACAACATCAATAAACACAGAGAAATGGCGGCAGGTTTGATTTCAGAGGCAGACTTCGTGAAGCAGATAAAAAATATGGTCGAACTGTCTGAATTATATCATGACAATTGGGAAATAAGAAAACCTCCTGTAAGTTCGAGTTATATACCTATATAAATATTATAAACAGTACGTGATTACACGATAAAAGAGAATAGGGACTACTAATATTTTAAATTGTTAATAGCCTATAGGCCTAAATATCAGAAACAGTTGAACTACTCTGTAAAATATATCAATATGAAATAAATATCGAATCAATTTATTATCCTGTGGAAAAAATCCTCATAGCGAAGTACACATCATTAACATGAACAAGAATGCAAAGCTCATTTTAATTTTTTCTTTCAATATTTGAGTCCAAGGCTAACTGGTTATTTTTTTTAGAAATGGCGCACTAATTAAATATTTGGCGGGAAAAATTTGTAAAACAATGATATTTTTAAGAAATGAAGTCTTTTTTGTACAAAAAATATATCGATATCCAACCCAGTTTGGAATTGCTTCATCCACCACTTGGCTTATGTAGTTCGAGCATAATTGACTTTACTTGAAATTGCTTAAATATTTTTCAGAATGGCGGAAAGGAATTTTTGTATAAGAAAGTAATCGTTGGACGGAAGAGAACAGCTGATGATCATGATGATGATGACAATGCTGAAAGGTCTCTAGATGGAGACTTGTCATCAGTAACAGTTGAAGAGGTGATGCTTAAATACTGCTTTGAACCTTCTCCACTTTTATCCAATTAGCATTTGGTAAATTTGCTATGAAGTCACTCACTACCTAATTGTTACGAAATTCACCATCACCAACTTATAATGATCTATTACTTACGACGTCGAAATGATAACTGTGGCTTTCCTTTTTCTCAGAATCTGAAAAATACCACGAGTTTGTCTGTCGATTTGGGGACATTCCATCCTTCATCGCTCATGCAGTTTCCTTTGCTTAGGTTGTTGCAAAATTTTCCTCAATGCACATTACATGGCGTTCGACCCAATCTTCATTTGCCCAATTATGGTGCGGGCACACGAGCAGTCTTGGTCGGAGATTTTTGTCTCCGACTCGAATCTTGAGTAAAATCTCGCGTGTGCCCGTGCTTCCACAAGTATAACGTGTCGCCGACAGGATTTATAATATCAAACAAGTTTGATAATTGTCTCCAATAGTTTTATCGTCTGTAAGACAGAACGGCATCATTAAATCAGATTCCTTTTCTATTCAATTGCATGCTCTGCACGTGATTATCGACATAGTTCGTAAGTCTTGATCGCTCACACGGTCCAGTAAATTTAAGTCTTAATAGAATTATTCTTTAAGTCGGATTTGAGTTACGTCCCTTCATTAGAAGATTCATAAATTTTTCATGTAAATATTTTGAGAAAATGGCATAGGTGGAGATGATGTCTTAGGATTTTTAAACCCAGTTCCCCCTATCTGTAAGGGTTGGCTGGAATAGGACCTTTTTAACTGGCAAATCTAACTATCAGAGGTAAAGTTCTATTTTGCCATAGCGAATAACTTTTGCGTATGGTTGTAAATAAAAATAGCAGTCGTACGTTTCGAACGCAACTCTCATGCATCTAAGTTCGTTATCTTCAGGTGAAATGGGAAAGCATGGAGCACGAGCGTAGGTCCGAGGCAAGGACTATTCGTTTACGAGCGTTGTTTTGTTTGGAACTCATGGCCACTTTCATGCGCAACTGGAAATCGTTATGGTGTATGGCACCTTCAATATTACATTTCAATATAACTTTCAAACGTAGATATTGCATCTATAACAGTAAGCTGTAAGTAACACCATTTCTGATTTAGCTGAATAATTCTGGTTTCTGAGACTCGTGTACGATTGAACGGACGATGAATTTTCTTCTTTTAACCCTGTGCCAATAGCCTCTGTTGATTAGTGACTTATTACCTTTCAACCAATTACTTTGCCCACAATACATAATGTGGAAGCCTATAAGATATAATTGTCCAAGGCTATGTTTTTTTTTCTCCCCCAGGAAAATGATCCAGGTTGTCATGCTACAACCATACCAGTCGACATGCTGACGTACGAATATCATATCGTGTACAGCTCTAGTTACAGTGTACCTGTCTTATATTTCAATGTTTATAAAGCAGGTATGTATTTCACTTTGAGTATACCGGTACCGGTACGTCTCTCCACTTTTAATTTCATGTATTTCTCTTGTACTGATTTGAGTACGCGTATATCCCTTCATGACATGTTTATCCCTTCATGACATGTATTTCTCTTGCGTACATGTATTGTTCTCGAGTACGTGTATTTCTCTTGCGTACATGTATTGTTCTCGAGTATGTGTATTTCTCTTGCGTACATGTATTGTTCTCGAGTACGTGTATTTCTCTTGCGTACATGTATTGTTCTCGAGTATGTGTATTTCTCTTAAGTACATGTATTTTCCTCTAGTACATTTACTTTCCTAGAGTACGTGTATTTCTCTTAAGTACACATATTTTTCTCCTGTACGTGTATTTCTCTTGACTGGTATGAATACATATATATATATTTTTTTACTACTGACATTTTTTTTGACTCTTGAGTACACATTTTGTATTTGTCTTGAGTAAATGAGTATCTTATGACCTGGCTCTTGCATATAGCCTATTATGTCTTGAGTACATTATTTCTTTTGACTCTTAGGAGGGGCTGAAAATCGGGATTATAACCGAAAGTTTTTAGCGCCGTCGGTCAAAGTTTTATAAGGGAAGAAGGGGGTGTCTTAGACAAGATCGTCTCGCCTCGACTTGGGCTTAGCTCAATAAGATTAGTGGTAAGAACGGGTCGTCCCAAACGTGTGGACTTTTACGAGCGTATAGTCAATAACCATCACCAGTCACTTGAAAGATTCGGCAAATGTCAGTCTTTCTATGAATCAGAAATCTGAGGGTAGGACATGGAAATGAAATATTATCTGTTTTATATGACTATATAGATGGTAAATTATTAAGTTTAGAGAATATTTGGAAGATAGTACCAGATGTTTACCAACAAGAACTACAGGCAGATAAATGGTCTATATTAACTCAACAGGTTCGTAATGATATGTCGGTCTATAGGTCAACTGGGTGGACCCATTTGGGTCTTGAATATATGTAAATAAAAGTCGCATATACCCTTCACAATTACCTTAAACTGGAAATTTCACTTCCTTTTTCCATATCCTTTTCTATGTATGCCAGAGTCTTAAGAATGGCGTCTTTAAAATGCTTACATTTCGACGGTGAGCTGTGAACTCTTTATTTCTGATTAGCTCAGCTGAAAAATGTGAGTCTCTGAGAAAATGGTATGATTGGTCAAACGGATGGCAAACCTGTCCCTTTAAAGTATATATCCGGGGGGGGGGGGGGGGGGGGGGGGGGATTACTACACGCAAATGCAATTCGACTATCGTCACATTGACTAGCAGATTCGAAATTTGCTAAAACATAGAACACAAGCAAGTTACGATTTTGAGTTGAATTCAGCTATTGATCATATTTTCCAGTTTCGACAGTTTGCGAACACAATCTGTGGGGTTCGCTCATGTCAACTGTCCAAAAAAATTCCTCGACGTTTTTTCTTTTCAATGCGATGATCGATTTTATGAAGCCATTGATGGTATCTTCATAGCTGATACAAAATAAATTGCCACTACTTCATACGATATGCTTTCCAGGGTCCTTCTTTTGTAGACAAAGCAGACGTCGGATGAAATTCAGCTGCGTTACTTCTGGAAATTTAATAAGACACCTACATCCTATTTAATTGATACCGGTATGTAATGATATGTATACCATATTTCAGGAACATCCTCTGTTAGGACGTCCGTTTTATCAGCTCCACCCATGTCACACAGAGATGATGATGAAAAACATACGGACTATGCTAGATAAAAGGTAGGCCTTTATTTACTTCACAAGACTTGCCCATCACCAATTGACCCAATAAGGTGGATTAAATTAGGATTTTTGTTCTGTCACATAGACCTGCTACAATACCCTACTGAATGATGGCAGTCATAGTGTTGTTTAGAAATCTATATCGTATAATTTGAAGTAAATATTTCATCTTTTGTCATCATTCTTCGCGTCAGCAAACGTATGCGCATTTTAGATGACAGAAGTTGAAATAGTTCAAACTTGTAAGTTGGAGGAAATCCACATCTTTCGGGATTATACGGATATCCATGTGTCCATTTTCTCCATTTGGTTTAAGTTTTGTAACTTGTTTTTCAGATGTGACTATTTGATATCATGGATAAGTAGTGTAGGACCAGTTGTCGGTTTAAATTTATCACTACAGTATGCTGCTAATTAAACGTCTTGATTCTACAGTATGCTGCTAGTCAAACGTCTTGATACTACAGTGTATACTGCTAGTCAAACGTCTTGATACTACAGTATGCTGCTAATTAAACGTCTTGATACTACAGTATGCTGCTAGTCAAACGTCTTGATTCTACAGTATGCTGCTAGTCAAACGTCTTGATACTACAGTGTATGCTGCTAGTCAAACGTCTTGATACTACAGTATACTGCTAGTCAAACGTCTTGATTCTACAGTATGCTGCTAATTAAACGTCTTGATACTACAGTATACTGCTAGTCAAACGTCTTGATACTACAGTATACTGCTAGTCAAACGTCTTGATACTACAGTGTATACTGCTAATTAAACGTCTTGATACTACAGTATGCTGCTAATTAAACGTCTTGATACTACAGTGTATGCTGCTAGTCAAACGTCTTGATACTACAGTGTATACTGCTAATTAAACGTCTTGATACTACAGTATGCTGCTAGTCAAACGTCTTGATACTACAGTGTATACTGCTAATTAAACGTCTTGATACTACAGTATGCTGCTAATTAAACGTCTTGATACTACAGTATGCTGCTAGTCAAACGTCTTGATACTACAGTATGCTGCTAGTCAAACGTCTTGATACTACAGTATGCTGCTAGTCAAACGTCTTGATACTACAGTATACTGCTAGTCAAACGTCTTGATACTACAGTATACTGCTAGTCAAACGTCTTGATACTACAGTGTATACTGCTAATTAAACGTCTTGATATTGATTCTACAGTATGCTGCTAGTCAAACGTCTTGATACTACAGTATGCTGCTAATTAAACGTCTTGATACTACAGTATGCTGCTAATTAAACGTCTTGATACTACAGTATGCTGCTAATTAAACGTCTTGATACTACAGTATGCTGCTAATTAAACGTCTTGATACTACAGTATGCTGCTAATTAAACGTCTTGATACTACAGTATGCTGCTAATTAAACGTCTTGATTCTACAGTATGCTGCTAATTAAACGTCTTGATACTACAGTATGCTGCTAATTAAACGTCTTGATACTACAGTATGCTGCTAATTAAACGTCTTGATACTACAGTATGCTGCTAATTAAACGTCTTGATACTACAGTATGCTGCTAGTCAAACGTCTTGATACTACAGTATGCTGCTAATTAAACGTCTTGATACTACAGTATGCTGCTAATTAAACGTCTTGATACTACAGTATGCTGCTAGTCAAACGTCTTGATACTACAGTGTGCTGCTAGTCAAACGTCTTGATACTACAGTATACTGCTAATTAAACGTCATGATACTACAGTATGCTGCTAATTAAACGTCATAATTAAACCTACATATTATTTTTTTTTATTCTGAATAAAGAATATAAGGATAGTTGAAATAAGCTCAGCGGGTCAAGTAACAATTTCGACAATATTCATCTCGCTGTATCGTTGAAGGTAATAGTTTCCTTATTATGTAATTGGCCAGTTTCTTTAACTGAATGTTTCCTTACATATGAACGGATAACATTCCTCGGAATTTGTAAATCTTATGTCTAATTCAAGTAACATTCCTCAGAATTAGAAAACTTTTATATTCAAATCAGTTAAAATTGCTATGTGTGCAGTCCAAGTTCTATCTGCTGGTTAAGTAAATATGGTTGTACCCGAGCTAAGTGTCCAAGTTAATATAACAATTCTAACAACAGATCAATTCTATTACTGCAACTAAACACTATACATCATTGCCCTCCGGATATATTACATGTACTTGTCCCTCCCAGCAATCAAGTTTGGCTATGGACCAGACTTGTCATAGCCATAAACCTCTTGAGCAAATATTGCAAGCATATTATTCTATTGAAAAGAATTACTGTTTTACAGATTATCATTTTTTTTCCAATATTTGGATCCCGAACGTATGAAATAATATACTACAATAGAAAATCAAATCAAAACGAAATTAAATCAATACTTGGCACAGCATGTTACAATAGACCAATTAGGGGCAGTTCATAGAATATTTTAAGACGGTATCTTCGAATAGTAGTGAGAAACCCAATGATGTTCAGAACAACGTTTCTTTTATAGTTTATTACCACATGATTTTATTTATTATTATGTATTCATGTATATGTATATAGAAGCAAAAGTATGCATGGTCTGTATCTTGATGATGCAAATACAATAACCTACAAAATACAGAAAATAATAAATCTTTTACATATGTGTTGAATATGTTGTCTTGTCCTTTCTCTCCTGCCATTTAGAATAATCAAATGGCTTTTTGCCCTCAAGCCAAAGGTGAAATTAAAGGGTTGGAGTATGCTAGCCATATAATTGTTTACTATACTTACCAAAAACAGGAACAAATTTACATTAACTTATTTGCTGATAATCTGAAAATAAAACGAACAAAATATATTGAACTACGATGACACTTTTTAAATGCATCACTCAATTTTTATTAAATGAGACCTAATTCTATTTACATATTTATGTTGACCAAATAAGTAATCTGCTACCTCTATCAAACTCGCATAGATGTGGGATATTCGCCAACAGCGTGAAAAGTGATTCTGGCTTTCGGCAGACGTTTAACATAACTTTTCAGTGATCAATGGTGTTCTAGCAACATGTTTTGAGATGTTGTCTAAATGCTCACACCATGTTCGTTATGGTGCTAAATTTGATCTTTTGTAATACCTACTGACAAGGTTACCAACGGTTCTCTTTTTCCGATACCAGTACCGACTGTTTTTGATGGATCGATAGAATCCGACCCAACGTAGAAACGGCATGATATTGTAATGAAGAACAGAAGACGACAGTTCTGGCATTTTCCTTTTCAGACCCGATTTAATTCTCAGTCTAAGTTGGTTTCCAATCTTAAAATGGTGGTATCTTTTACTTATTTCCCGGGTCTCTGGGTCAACATCTGAAAAACGACAGAAGTAATACTGGTATTGGTTAACGTATCATTAAAACCTTTCGTAAGTCTTAGCGCTTGAAACATCTTACAAAATCAAAATGAGTACAGGCAATCTGTTATTCTTTCTGATTTTTCTCCTTGGATTGAGACATCGCAAGAAATTCAGTGTAAAATTTGCCCAGATAATGGCCCAGATAATGGGGGAGTGGGTGCACCTAAGACAATCCAAGTGCCTCGCTGACACCGATTTATTTCGTTCGCCCTCACCCCCACCCCCAATCGTTACGCTTTACTATCTCACCTCAACGAACAGATCAGATTTTATATAGGGTGTACCTACCTTTAAAATGTGACCAAATAGCCTTTTTATTTCTTTCAGAACTACATCCCACTACCACACAGGCTACAGTTATGAAAAAATAAACAATACATACATAAAATACAATATAATATTTCAATCTCACCACAGAAACAGCCAATATCTGCAGGGATCGAGCGTCTTTGGCCTAAGACGCATGCCATAACTACGCGTCTTACAAAGAAATAAACTGAACATGAATGACACACATTTTAATCACTACTCTAGACAAAACCAGTCGAATTTTTAGACCTTCAAAACTGTTGTACATTTTCATTTATTCACTTTTCCGCCTCTTATACAGAATAAAAAGGGGAACTTTTTTGAAGCAAATTACGATTGGCGACCCACGTCAGATCGCAAAGATATAATTTGTGTAACTCTACTTAACCCTTCTCTCTAAAAAATTCAGAATACTTACCCAGAAAAAGCATGATCGGAAGAAAAATATTCATATTGCTTCTCTGATTGTTACAAGTCAAATACTTGTTGGTATATGAGAGCTTATGAGCCACTGTACTTTTATAGATACTGAGGTAAAACAAATCACTATAGCAATAAGATTGTTTTTCACACTTTCCTAGCAATTTAACAGCCATTTGAATTTAATAATTCATTTAAATAGAAGTAAATTTGTGTAGGTTGTCCATCCAGGAAATGAGGTCTATTTCAAACACAAGTTTCATAAGATATTAACGGATATAACAGCCTACTTCTTTATTATTAACAGCTATCCATATCGCTTTTCATATGAAAATTAGGCATTCCAGAAATAAAAGAAACGGTAACTACACTATAACTTTGCACGAGAATTTGCAAAAAGACAAAAGTGTTTGTCGTCACTATCAGTTCAATCTGATTAAAATAAGATCACAATTCCGTTTTGTTATTATTATTATTTGTTCTCTATTGTAATCTAAAAGATTTATACCAAGGTCGCATACTATTTATTCATTTCGACCAACCACAGCGTGTCATACAGAGTCCGTGCCTAAATATCGACTATGAATATTGTGGAATAGCGGAACCCAATGATAGATCAGGTAGAGACCCGAAAAAGAAATAACGAAACGTAATTGTAATCTAATGCAATGCAAACGCCGAAGTCTGGTAGATGAATGAGCTTTAAAAGCTAAGAAGGTAGATACATCTACCCAGTCGATTATTGTCATTCAACCCTATTCCATTTTGCATAAACTGTAGGCAATGTACAGTTTTAAGTGATTACTGTAGGCAATGTACAGTTTTAAGTGATTAACTGTAGGCAATGTACAGTTTTAAGTGATTAACTGTAAGCAATGTACAGTTTTAAGTGATTTCGTCCATTGCCAGGTTCAAGGAATACTGGTATGTACTAATTTCTTCAGATTACTTTTTTTATACGCCCACATGGACATGTGGACGTATATTACCGTCGCCCAAGTCCGTACGTTGGTCCGTCAACATTTGTTGTGAACATAATAGTGACTACAGTTTTCAACTGATTTTAATGAAATTTGGTGTGATTATTGATCTTGGTCAAGTTCGAATTTGACGATCTTTCGATGAAGGGTTTTGAGTTATTGCCCTTGACATAGGAAAAACGCGTCAAAATTTGTTTGTGAACACAATAGAGACTACAGTTTTCAACTGATTTTAATGAAATTTGGTGTGATCATTTCTATTGATGAGTTCTTGGTCAAGTTCAAATTTGACGATCTTTCGATGAACGGTTTTTGAGTTATTGCCCTTGAGGAAGAAAAAATGCGTCAAAATTTGTTTGTGAACACAATAGAGACTACACTTTAAACTGGTTTTAATGAAATTTGGTGTGATCATTTCTATTGATGAGTTCTTGGTCAAGTTCATATTTGACGATCTTTCGATGAACGATTTTTGAGTTATTGCCCTTGAATAAGAAAAAATGCGTCAAAATTTGTTTGTGAACACAATAGAGACTACAGTTTTCAACTGATTTTAATGAAATTTGGTGTGATTATTCTTATTGATGAGATCTTAGTCAAGTTCGAATTTGATGATTTTTTGATGAACGGTCTTCGAGTTATTGCCCTTGACTTAGGAAACGCGTGTCAAAATGTGATTGTGAACATAACTTTTATCATTTCTGCCAGTGGGCGTTTGTTACCTTGCCTGGCAAGCTATCTTTCACTAAGTTTATATTCAGTTTGGTCATCTTCCACAAATGACATTCTCATTATACATGTATATTAAAATGTCTAAAGCTATGTGAGATTTTGTCTCAACAAAAAGTGTTTATTTCAAATGTAAAATCAATAAACCTAATATTTCTATGGACCCAAAGACATGTTAAAATAAGCTAACAACATATTCAATAATATTCAATAATTGTATTCATAACATTATTTTGATCATTATTTCACAGAAACAGAACAATTTATTAAACATAATATCAAAAGATGACTTGAGAACTGACAACAGTGCAGCAAAAATTATATGACAATATCAAAGATTTACATCTGTTGAAAATGTGTTAAGATGAAATAATATGAATCTTAAATATATTTGAGTGCCCATTCTGATATGACATTAAAACGGTCTATAGAAAATTTCTAAGGTAAAAACTTATCAGATATACTTTTAAAAGTTTAAAAATTACATTTCAACATATCTCTTAATTTCTCTTCACTAGCCCCTACTATTTCAGCTACCTGAAAAAACAAAATAAAGGAAAGTTAAGATGTGTTTTCATAATTATTCAGTGTTATTATTTAGCAAAAAAGAGGATATATACAGTACTTTCACAAGGAATTAAATTTTTTTTTTTTTTTATCAACCTATGGTTCTTTTTAGTCTAAAAAATTTCAATGTCATTTTATTACCTTATATTTTCAGATAAATACAGATAGGCTTTCTGTTGTCACAGTCAATCTTTTTACTTTGGGTTACTACACTCGTCATCTGTGATCTGCATATTTCTTTCTTAATTCATGTTGTAAAATCTTGACTTAATAGCCCCTAGTCTAATTAAAATTTGACCAAACTTTCGTTCTGTATTTCATTAACTTTTACATCTAATTTGAGCACTTCAGGGAGGGTCTAACAACAGCCCTCTTCCACATTCGTCAGTTTGATGACACCTTCAACCAATCAAATTCCTCTCTTTCCCAATGCTGGTATTTTGTGAAGTGAACAAAAGGTCTGAGGATTTCAGAACACACTTGAGGGCAGGAATTTGATTGGCCGATGGTGTCATCAAACTGACAAATGTTAAAGAAGGTTGTCATTAAGATGTTAATCTGAAGTGGCTGAATAATAAAATTAAATTTAATAAAAAACACAACGAAAGTTTGGGCTAGTTCTAATTAGACTGTAATGGCACCTAGTCATATTTTTGCCAACCAATCAAAACACTGATCAAAGTGAATTTAAACTAGAAGCCAATATTAATAATGAATATTCCATAATTCCTCCTGTATAGTCAATAAATTTCTTATTGAACAGAGAATTTGATTGGTTGAATGACCAAATCATGTAACATAACACAGATTTTGGTATGGTCAGATCATGGTTGAGTTGAAACCACCACAAAAGGGAAAGAAACAAAACTTTCAGGTTTGTAATTTCATCAAATAGGCGTACAATAAAATAGTGCCAAATAACCTGAAAGTAAGGAATAAAACAATTTCTTAACCTTAAAAACCTACCTTTTTTCCATTTTTGAAACAAAGGAATGTAGGCATAGCAGAGACATCGTATTCTTCACTTAATTCCTAAAAATAGAAAATTGATTGTCTAACCATGAAAATTGTCGAACTAGCTAGCAGATTATCACATCTAGCAGTGGGCAACTATTAATACCCATGGTAGGAAGATGAACAGAAAAAATCTAACATGGATGCTCATTGCTACTGAGATATTAGCTTGGTAGTTTTCTGTGGTCAGATTGTATACAGGCTCACAATCTGTAAATCAGTAACTTTACAGTGTGCGAAGACAGTAATTTGACAGGGTGCGAAGACAATAATGTTCAGTTCTCTTTAATTGCAAACTTGTGTACATAACTATTTTTATGTTTTAAAGACGAATGTTGGATATTAGATTCAATACAATAATTGATTACATTTATATTTTTATATATACATATATCATTAAAATTAGACCAAACTTACTCATTTTTATACGCCCACATCTCTCTATGTGGACGTATATTGTCGGCACCCCTGTCCATGCGTCAACATTTGCTTGTAAACGCTCTAAAAACTTTAAAAGTTTTTGATGGAATCAAATGAAATTCGGTATGTGCATACATATTCATAAAATGAAGACCAAGTACAAATTCAGCTATTTTCGACAGTTAGAAGCAGAGTTATTGCCTGTGCCCCAAAATCTTGAATATGCTATTGCTTGTAAACGGCTCTAAAAACTAGATTTTTTGATGGAATCAAATGAAATTCGGTATGTGCATACATATTCATAAAATGAAGACCAAGTACAAATTTGAGCTATTTTCGACAGTTAGAAGCAGAGTTATTGCCTGTGCCCCAAAATCTTGAATATGCTATTGCTTGTAAACGGCTCTAAAAACTAGATTTTTTGATGGAATCAAATGAAATTCGGTATGCGTATACATATTCTTAAAACGAAGATCAAGATAGAATTTGAGCTATTTTCGACCGTAAGAAGCAGAGTTATTGCCCTTGCTCCAAATTCTTTAATACTTACCATCCGCATGCCACTGTGGTCGTATATGGCTGTGGTCCACTATCTTATTATTAGTTTTTATTTTTAGTATAGCCACTTCACAGTAGGGTTTAATGACTGGAGTCTTGAACATTCGTCAAATTAACCTTTTGACCTAACCTGATGAAATTAACTGGGTAAATTAAGAACATCCAATATAAAGGCGCATTTTTTATTTTTATTTTCAGTGGACTTAATAAACTAGTCCTAAAAAAAAAGTTTTGATTGCATTACCAAAAGCCAACACTGGAGGAGGCGTAAATTTGATTGGTTAAAGCATGTTATGTCAAAAGGTTAATTTGACGAATGTTCTCCTGTCATTAGACCCTACTGTGAAGTGGCTATACTACTAATAAAAACGAAACGAAAGTTGGGTCTAATTCCATTTAGACTGACATTACTGTATAATTGTACATGGAATATGTACAGACACAGATATTCCTTTATTCCATATTTCATCTTTGTTTAATTAGGTTCTTAGGATCATTAACCTATTATTATTATGCTAAAGTGGACTTGTCTGTGAAAAGATGCCAATCAACAAAACTTACCGGAACTGCATCGACATCAACTTTCAGAGCAATAAATTTCCCATCGAACTCCTTGGCCATAGCCTATAAATAAATAAGCAACTTCATATTTAATTAACAATATTAGCTATCTAGACTCTATGAAAGGGATGATCCCATCAAAACATGACAGGAGATTCTACAATGTCCCTGTGTCTCAAATGGTCGTATTGTAGTACTGTGTTGGGCACAGGGACATTGCAGAATATCTGGTTATGTTTTGATGGTTCAGTTTTGTATAGATATCAAAATTTGGCCAAATTTGGCATTTGTCATGATGAAAATTCTCAAAAACTAGCGACAAGTAGGTCAAAGCAAACCAAATCTATATAAAAACAAATACCTCAAACTTTGGTCCAATCATTTTGCAAGGTCCACACCAAGAAGCAGAGAAATCAATACAAATCAATTTTCCTCCACATGATGACAACTGACATTTAAACTCTTCCTGAAATAAAAATTACAATAATGTCCAGCATGGTTAAAGGGATTGTAAAGAAGGCTTCTAACATGATTTTAGTCTTGAATATATGTAAATAGTGTTCAGAAATACTAGAAATGTACGAAAATCACATACTTCAAACTTTTAGCACTATTTCTAAATATGCCTTTTCTGCATATCACAGAGTATATTACACTGACGAGTCACTTCAACAACATTTAATCAGGAATAATTCTGGAAACACATATATTTGAAGACTCTTATTCCGACTGTGAGCTGTGAACACTATTACTGATTGGCTTAGCTAAAAAAATGTCCTGTTTCTGAAACCAAAGCATGATTGGTCAAAAAAATATGCCGCAACTGTCCCTTTTATATTAATCAGAATCTCATTATTTTACACGTATCAGAATTAGGTCCATTTCACACAACACGGACACCGGCCTATCTGTTGGTGGAGATTAACTTCTGCAGCTTTTATCACTTTGGGTTCATAATTTATAATCACATTTTAACAGTTTTATCAATTTATGAGACCAGTCTCTGACTGGATTTCTATATAGTACAGTCACGTAACCTAATTTTGTGCATCTCTACAACGTCAACCTGAAGAATTTTTCCTATGCTTTCAAAGCAATGTCAAATTTACCTACATATATACAAAATGGCCAATTTCAGTTATTACCAAAAGTCATAAAATGTTTTATCGGCCAACTTTCCTTATAATATATAGCTGTACTTGGCGTTATAAGTGTCGTCAGCTAGAGCATATTCCAGTGAACAAAGCCACTTGACAAACTAGCAGATTTCATGTCAGCAGAAAAATTCTATGGAACACAATGTAGGTCATAGTCTTATGTTGTTTCAATGAATTTTAGCAATAAATTACTCCTATGTTTTACTTCTTTTATTTTGACAGTGGCTATTTTTTATTCAAATCATTGTTCTTTGAAAGAATTGTAATATTGAATTGATATTAAAGATAAATACTAAGAAATTAAATTATACCACCGGGTATCCATACAAGGTGTTTTTCTCAATTCACTGGTATTTATAGATCAAAAATTTTACACGAAAATAGGAGACGCAGACGCATTTTGCAGCCGTTGTCGAGTTGGCTACTCATGAAATATGGGTCAAGTTGAGGGATTCATAAAGAAAATTGAAACCAACCCATTTTTATTGTTTTACGAAATATCTGAATAAACATCTAAGAAAAACAAAAAAAATCCATTATTTGCTGAAATTCGATGTTGAATCCTTGTAAGCACGAATAAGCTTATTATACAGTCAAGCCTATAGGTTACACCACTTGCTCTGTATAGATGGTCATTAAAATTATTATCATTATCACAGAGCACTATATACATTAGTTTAACATTAAATCGTGTGTGTATATCGGTATAACATCTTAATCAGTAATCTCCATCTTCGATATGTATCGTATCGTGTGTTATTTTATGTTGTCCATCATCATTTTATGCCGTCTCAAAAGCCCCACTTTACCCTATCTCGTGTTTATAAACGAACATTGCCCGGTAGGCCTGATGTTTATTAAACTATACCGAATAAAAGAAACGAAAGTATACTTACAACGCTGTTGATAATCGTCACAGACATGTTGCAATTATAAAGGATTTCTTAGCTAATGGTTCTATATAGCCGATTGATCGAATTTATCTGACTGTTTGTTGTTAGTTGTGAATGGTGTATCTAGTGATTGACCACCGGTTCAAGTTAAGAGAAGCGTGTAGGGGCGCATTCGTTCACGTGTCAATAGTGTTCCGGTTTCTAGTTCTTTCCAAAACACGCCCTCATTGACGGTATAATTCGTTTCTCTTTACTTCAGTGTATTGGGACGAGGGAGGCCTGCCCACATCTATATGAACTACTAAGTTATATAAAGTGTTTGTTTGCGTATATGTTTCCATGCTTAATGATGCTAAACATTTGAAAATGTAGTCCGAAAAGCCTTTTAGACTGCGTTGGATAATCCTTTCCATAATATGAGGCGTAAGGGTACATGCAATTCTGTTACCCATCCTGATGAAGCTTTTTTCTATCTTTTCGTATCCACAACACATCCCCACAGCTTTCTTGAAATAGTAAAGTCAGGTCATTGAGTCCTCGAGCCACATTACTAGACAATAAGAATATATCTTGTATCCAAATAGAATTGTAAAAAAGTAAACAAAAATAGTTACGTTACGTTCTAAGAAACATACAGAGGTCAGAGAGTCTAGGCTCGTTAAAAAGCTATATTAGACTTTTCTTTTGTTTTTTTTTATGCGGAACATGTCATAAAGATACAAGTATATGGTAGGCCTGGCTAGTATTTTATTTTGTATCCCCACTGACTGTCAAACTGATAATACGTTCCTAAAGCTGATGAGAGTTTACGGACGAACACCAATTCCACCTAAAGCAAGTAGCCCAGTCCCGTAGCTAACCTAGGGTCTCAGGGGGCCAAAATTTTGCAAGGGTGACCTCAACTTTGTGACTCAACAAGACGTTCAAGTCATCTAAATTTTTGCTCCCCCTCTCTTTTTTTTAACTACGCGCCTGAAGTAGCCTCGAAGTTCTGATTTCATAGTGTACATGACCAAGAGGCCGTTTTCACACACAGAAACACTATAACCTAGAAGCCTTTTCATTCTAAAGTACCACCCCCCCCCCCCCCCCCCCCCGACCATACCCACCCTTAACAAAAAAAGGTCATGTTGGCATTTAGGCTACTTATGATTTAATGATACAACATGCAGTAACATTTAGATTCGTTCTATACATTGAGCGGTAAAAACAGTGACACGGCCAAAAGAAATAACAGTGTGGTAATGGCTATTGAAAGAATTGTGTTGAATATGACAAAAACATTCAAAACAATATCCATATAATATAATATATATAGCCTACGTATCTTATCAAATTAAAGTAGGTATAGAACTGATGTAATCTTCAAAAATTATAGCATATAGCCTAAGGTTAATCATAAACCTATTTAAATGCATCTAATGCCAATGATCTTTTTCATTTCGCTTTCAGCAATTTCTTTATTACTTCGAAAATCGCTTTTGTTTTTTGGTGAAATGTCTAATTTGCACCTTTTCTAGCTGGGATGCGATCTTTAATCGCGACAATGGATCGAGTTTGATTCGACTCAACAAATCGAACGCAGTCATGACTCAGCGTTATCAAGGTTTATAGGGGAAATACGATCCTTTGGTTCCAAAATGAGTTGAAATGAATATTGTTGCTTTTATACTCAGTTCCGATATTTGTCGATCACCAGAAGCACTACAATCTTTAAAGAAATAGCATAATTCAATTCATTATAGGTCTATAGGCCAAATACATGTATCTGAGTGGATGACTACGTGACAAGCTCCTAAATTATATGATAAAGGTTGATAGTCCAGATAATTTAAACCAGGCTAAAAGAAAATGTCTACTGCAAATATCAATAAAAAAATTGAAAAAGGGCATGTAATATGTGATTTTGTATAGCTACAAAAAGACATAGAAATAGTACGAAACGGGTAATTTGCTACTTATAAATCTACTTATAAGGCTACAGTCTGTTACGTATTTAATGTCGTTTATGGAATGAAACCATTCATTTATTTGCACATCTTACTACAAGACCGAATACTAATATCCTCTAAAACAGTCTTCACAAGTTTCATTTGTTTTGATCTATCAATTCCTTTAATTTCGTTTTATTGGCGCCTGGCATTTCTGTTATCTGAAATATAAGAATCAACTTGTAATCATTGCCTACTATCATATACATCATATTCTCACATAATCAATATGCTTATCTATTGCTCTGTAACCTATAGACCAGTGCTTTCATTGGGACTCGCCCCAATCTATTCGCAATCATAGAGGTTAGATGCATTTAAGCAAACATCAGCCAAAAGCAATGACAATCTTTGAAAACCACATCATTATTCATATCCTATATTTACATTGACATGTATAACCGGGCGTGCCCCATGAAATACAAATACGCATGATTAAGGCATTATTTTAAAACATCAAGTTGTATTATCTTCTCCGCGGTGGAGTATTCGAATCCAACTGTCAGTGTTACCAAGGTGCATGTACGACTCGTGTCGGCTTCCAAGAGAGAACAATTCTTTCAGAATTTAGATAGTTCAACTCTAATACCTGTTGTCTAATATACAATCCTAAAATCTAAATGATATCTTAGTCCGTGGTAGATTACCCCCCACCCCCCTTCCATAGGTTTAGTACATTTCCTTTAATTAATATTTCTTATTTATGATAACTTACAATTGAAGAGTTTCCTCGCTAAAATATCATACATGTATACTATTTTCACTTAATAAATTATATATATTTTTTATATGAAATACGCATTTTCCTTTACATTTAATATAGGACAATTCCTCAGTTTCACCAGTGAAAATGTTTATTATGATTTCCATGGTTATTAATGTTCCTATTGGAACCAGTATTCTTCTTATATATTTCAGGTTCAGAAGATAATGGATTGGCATTTCAAATATTCTATATCATTCTTGTAAACTAACTTCACAAACATTGCTCTATCACTAGAGGTTACGCCTACATGCCTGTGCCTGTGCTTTCGTAACATTGCTTAATCGCAATGTTACAACCTAAAATTCCTACTCATTGAATACTATACAATGTTAGGACAGATTGAATACATAAACCAAGACATTAAATACAATAGGCTAATCTGAATTCATAACATTTAATTGTCGGCTATTTTATAATCTTAATATCCGATTAAAATAATCTGCGACTTTAATCCTTAAATATAAGACAATATCAAAAGCAAAATATTTCTAATAATAATTATAATGGACTTTCCAAAAGGTAAATTTCTTGTTTTGTAAGGAGTTGTGCAATACTTTTATGCTGTCTAACATTAGGTTATTTAGCATAGTAAAGTAACATTGGAATTTGTCTACTTTGACCACATCGACAGTACAAAGCACTGACTGTATACGAAATACCTATAGTTGTTAATTGCGGTCATAGTATGGACTTTAAAGATGTTTGTAGTTTCCCAACCTTTAAGAGAGTCGTATAATTTGTCGTTGTCCATGGGATGCACTCTCGTTGTACCATTCTTTGCGAAACAAGTTCACGGAACTTGATTAATAGAACAGTTAGGCTACTGTAATTTGTGTTACCTTTTTGTTATCTTTATACAGTATAAATGTAGGCATACACTCTATTCCCTCATCTTCTGCCAAATCCTTTAGAATACCAAAGAAAGGACCACATATGATATCATTTAAAAATAAATTTGCTTGGATCTATACAGCAAAAACTGTAGTTGAATAATTTAAGATAAACTTTAGTACATTGAAAAATATATTATTATTTTACAGAGACAGAGACAGGGACAGATAAAATGAAAGGCACACCGTCAACAGGATGCGAAAATGTAAAAACTTTTTAAGTAGCAAGACGATGTAGACATAGCCAATGTGTATACAAATACTTTCGCTGTTTCATTAAGCTACAAAGTATACCAGTGAAATCATTTTGTATATCCTTTGTTCAAGCATGAGCTATGTGACATTGGCGGATTTAGAATCATTATAAAGTTTAGGCAAATTAAAATCTTAAATGCAAAGTTGACTAAAGAATCTCAGATTATCTTTGGGTTTAATGTTCCAAACAATGACCACATGTCATTTTCTTCTGTAAATTTGATTTTACAGAGATAAATATGTAGTCCAAATTGTAGGTCACTTTCAGCTGCAATTTCTATGTGTATATTTGAACACAACGTACCGGTATCAAAAATAACATTTTCATGGGTCCGAAGACAATCTAAGTTAATGGCCTGCATGTTAAGATTTTATTTTGAATATTTGTGAAATGACAGGAAACATGTCATATATACACATGCAGTTTTCTCTCACCGGAAGCTCGTCAACGTCTACTTTTGCAAATAAAACCGAACCTTCATATTCTGTTTCTAGTTTCTGAAAAAAAAACATTAATAGATGGCATGATCGCACGTATTGGATTGCTAACAATTGTCATTAGTTTTATGCTGAGTTGACAAACCAAACAACGGAGAGACATTAAGTGTACCGAAGTGATCTTCACCGAACTAACCATAAATGTTTGCATGATAAAAAAGACTGATTTTTCAAAAGATATATGTATAAGGCCCCAAACACTGTATATCAAAGATGGGGACAGGGGTGACGACTGTATACATTTTAAAGGTATCTTACATCAAGGTAAGGTGCCATCATCCTACATGGTCCACACCACGCTGCACCAAACAATAGCACCAATAGCCTATTTCCAGCTGTTTTAAATATTTCTTTATATTCACTCTGAAAATACAAATATTTTTTACCAGAGGCTCTCTGACAAAAGAACTTTTACAACTTAATTTATGGAAGAATGTTACAGAAAAGCCAAGAACTGTGATATCGATTTCTCAGAAAAGGACTGTGCTTCGAGCTCTATGAAAGGCTTTGCACCGGATACGCACTTGCACTCGATTGAACTGAATCTATTCCTCATGGTATTATAAGGTATAAGTCTTGATGGGGACGAATATTATATGCAACAGGTGCTGCAAATTGTGTTTTTAACGAGCGTTAAGTATAAATTGTCACTAAATTTAACTGATATCTTAAACTGTAAATGATGCCTTGGATCAATAGAATGGTCAAAATCCTAGATATATAACCGATGTATGCCCACATATCATATCAAACCCTATACAGAGAGGTTGATACACACGAGGCATTAACGCCGTATCTATCTATCTATCTATCTATCTATCTATCTATCTATCTATCTATCTATCTATGTATATGTGTTTGTTTCTGATTGTCTATTTGTATGTGTCACTATTTATTCTACAGTTTTGTTTGGGAAATGGATTTATATAAGCAGTATGCTTGTTTCCAGATCCCTTGATCATTGTTGTATATTAGACTGAACATAAGAAATAAATATTGATTTAATAAAGATTAACGCCGTTTCCGGTGTTCGTTTTATTGGTAAAGTATGCCTCATATGATCTGATAATTGAAACAGGGAAGAGATCGTGTAAATTACTGCGAAGAAATGTCTTACAATAAAAACAGTATTTTAACCTTCTGTGGATAATTCTGTACGGATTTGAAGACTCAAAGAAAGACTTGAAGAGCTGTGAAAACTATTCAGCTTAGCTGAAAACTCCCCGTTTCTGAGACTGGCCAAACGAATTCTACGATAGCTTTCCAGGCAAGGTAATATACGCCCACTGGCAGCTTTGATTTTGAATTGAAATATTTGGCAGTACAGTAACAATCACCAGTATGAAATATTCAACCTTCAGTCATACAATTCTTTTTAACTGTTTATTACCATGTTTTGACAAGACGAATTTTTGGTAGTGGTAATAAAACATTTCACCCAGTTTCGTCAAAATCAGTCAAGAATTATGCCTTCTAGAGTGTTTACGAGATAAAAATTTAATGTATTTCGAAGATCAAGAACAATAACTTTCGATTTTTCTGATTTTAAATAGAGTTCATCCTTGGGTGATAACAAACACTCACACCAAGTTTCGTCAACAACCATTTAAGAATTGTGAATTCTGGGGTCTGCAAGGTCAATCGTGGACAGACCGACGGACATGGCGACGCCAATATACGCCACACATTTCATGTGAGCTTTAAAAATTATCGACAAAAACACTATACTAATTACAATGTCTACATCATCTCACAATGACATTGACTGGTTAATTGTCGATAAAACCGTTTCTAATTTGTTTGTGTGTGTTGCTATGGTGATGCAATGATTTCATGATTTATAGATAATGGTTATAACCCATCAAAATTAATACCAAACCATTATTTTCTCCTATATTTTCACTACAAAGTAAATTTGTCGTTATTGTTATCAAGATATCCGTGTAAGATATATATTGTCATGAGTTAATAAACTGAAACACCTAATGGAGTCTTTTCAATCGAGCACCAGTGCATTCAAACCAATCTGATGTAAACTTGTTTCTTTTCAGAATTGAAATGTACCATGAATCAATAAGTTCTAGTTGTATAATTTCTATTTTCGTGGTCTGTTATGGTCATGATATTTACTGGACGTAAGTATGTTACCAAAGCTCATAAATTGACGACAATATAAACTTACACAATATTATTTTTTGCAATTGCGCCAGACGCTAGATTTTAGTTCTGAAAATTGACACTGATGACTCTAAGCCAGCTAAGCTATACAACGGAAACGGTTTTTTGTTCGGCGACTAACACTCAATCATTGTGTCTGTTGTTAAATGTTTTATTGTTATCACATCTAATCGATCCATTTGAATATTGGGTTGTAGTGTACATATGCAGACAATAATGTGGTTGAATATTACTTCGAATAACAACAAACGAATAGGTAATTCGACATATAGATGACTCACTACCAAAAAACAGGAAGTCCATTCAGTTTGTCACGTCGTCAAATCATTATGGTTTAAGGAACATTTGCAACAAAAAATGTATTATCTAAAGAAAGAAATGTGACATTACCTCTAAAGTAAGTTCCTTCATGATGGTAGGTCTAATGATAATGTCAGGTAAAAATATCAATACATGTCTCCTGCTGCCTTACAAGAAAGTGTTCGTTTCAGAATGCCAATATTCAATCAATATTGGTATTTAATGAGAAATATTAATATCGATTGTTCACTACACTAAAAGCCATCCGTTTTTTTATGTTCATTTGGCGAGTTAGATAAATATTTTCATATTGTATTTTTAGATATAGAAACTAATGTAATGTTACTTGGTGCACTTTAAAGAGACTGTGGAGGTTTTTTTTTATAAGTGTGGGGTCCACAACATCTTTACATAATATGTCAAACTATCTGTGATACAAGAAAAGCGGCTATTACAGTCAAGGTATTAAACGCAGTTAATAGTGTAACATTGTGAAGAAGGGGTCATTAAGGAATGATGTTAATAAAAGAGCAATCTAATTAAAATTATTTTACGACGTTTTTGTTTCGGACTACATAGGAGGTCCAAAATAAAAACGAAATTGTAATTAGATGTTTCATTTGATTGATAAAAGAGTTACATGCTTTGATACAATTACTTGATAAGAAAACCTGTTTTCTATCTATCTATTTTATTTTACCATAATTAATAGCCAAATATAGCTACAAACAAGTAAATACTGTTAACATTTGTATTTGAAATTGAATCAGGTATGTAAACAAAATTCTGCTTCTATAGATAATATTAACCCACTTTATTTTATACACCTTTTAAAACCACAGCAATATAATTTTAAATGCAAATATAGATGTTTAACAAATCCAAGAAAATTAACATCTGATTGGCGAACTACACATTTTGGTACAAAACAAATTGTTCAGATCATTGATGACAATCACAGTCACCTACTGCCAAAAAAGGAAATGAAAAAATTCTATTGGATTTAATTTAAAAAACTGTTGTAATGACATAAATGCGAAAGGCAGGAGTAGCAGAAAATGCTCCATATGCCATCTAATACTTCATTGAATATAATGATCTTGAATTATAATCTCCATGTAAGATGGTTAGAGATGTCTAACATAGTTAAAGATTTATTGATAACCATAGACGACCATAATATAGACACAATATATAACTTATTGTTATTCTTGAAAATATGGCAGTTAAAGCCTATTAACATAATAGACCACTTTTGTTGTAATAGTTATGTTGATGAAGAAAAACACATTCGCTTCTGTCTGAAATTTCAAGAGAATTCATTGCACCTTATCAATTTTGTCTTCTAGATTCTGCTTATTTATGACGAAATCATCTTATCTAAATCACTTTCACCAAGTTCTCTTATCTGAGAATTGTTAGTCGTTTAGCTCTTCGTTGGCGAGGTGCAGTTTTCTCGTATTCGTTATCACTTTGATCAGATTCATGAAGCTCAGAATTAAAAGACGATGTACAATCACTATGTGTTGAACTTAAATCCGTTGAATAGTCACTTGGTTTGAAATCTATAACAGATAGAGCTGAATTATGTAAACTCTTTTCCGTGGATGTTCGCCTGGAACTAGAAACTGTGGTAGCATACTCCGAATAATGTTTGTTAACTGTCGACTTTAGACGAACGGAAGCAATCCTGCATTTGATATCTTCGAGTGCTTGTGTTACCTCGTTGTCTGTTTTCAGCAGTTCGTATTGTAAATCCTGTAGCTTGTAAAGCAGTTTTTCTTGACTCGTTACTAACTCTCTTGCACTTTGGCCATAAACACAGGCGTTCGTATCATCAACGTCGTCACTAACAATGTCGGATGTGCTTGATTTTCTAGACATTTCTACAATTTAGTAGAGGGATATCCTTTTGAGTATGATAAATACATTTGTGCAAAATAAATAGAGAGAATACGATTTAGTTGGACACGGTATACCTACAAATCACTTATCCGATTTATTTAATCTGCAGAAATCTTACAGCAACTCATCCACGTGGAACATAATTATACCAGATGCACATTCGTTCGTTCGTTCGTTCGTTCGTTCATTCATTCATTCATTCATTCATTCATTCTTTCGTTCGTTCGTTCGTTCGTTCGTTCGTTCGTTCGTTCATTCATTCATTCATTCATTCATTCTTTCATTCATTCATTAGAAGTTTCTTCTCTCATATTAATCATTTTATTCATATTTGGAAATCTTTACACCTTAGTCCTGCCAAAAGCCCCATTTCTATCACTAAATATAGACCATGTATAGTTAGAGTTAGAGCAAATTAATATACAGATACAGATGATTCTGTTCGTATTTTGTTGTAGTGGAGTACTCCACTACTTATACACATGGTCAGACGAACAAAGATTTTGTATTGTATAGTCCAATTTTAACAATGCTTTGGATTGATAAGCATAATGCATGACAAGCTTTGCGTCTATCGGGGCATTATTCAATTGTACACGATTAAAGAACTGAATTGTGAATTTAGTTTCTCACAGACAAGTTTGGAAACGAGCCAACTATTTCTGATTTGTAATCATTCCACATTTATTGGTAATTCATTTTACTTCATTGTCTAATTTTAACACCTTACTTAATCTTTTATATTATATATTATATTTATCTTTTAATGACTTGCATTTTGTTGATATTTCAAAAACATTACCATATAAAAAACTAGACTCGAACAGGATATGTTTTATAACAAAATATTGACTTAACTTGACAGGTATATTGTATTTACATCCGGGTATCATTCAGTTTTTTTATTTATATTTTTACACAGCATGCTAAAACACGTGCATTACTGTCTCTTAAAAACAACGGGACATCCAGTTAGTACGATAGTGACTAAATTAAAAAGTAAAATCTGATAAGAGAGGTCGCAAAACATTTTTAACATGTCTTTGGAACAATGAATTTTTTTTTAATATCGGCCTTGAAAAACAGATGCAAGTCGGTATCGTTTACGTAACACCTTTTAAAGTCGCTATGTGTTTTATTGTTGTTGGAAACTAATGGAAAAATATTTAATCATCCCTTTAAAATAAATTTAAGTTAATCGAGTAGATACATAACAGTAAACAGCACAATTTAGAAATCTTTTCACATATGATTAACGTATTCAATAATAAAAATTTTATATAGTGTCCCTCTACAGACTTGTTACTATCAATTCAGTTCAAATGATGAATGCACACACACACGCTCACGTAGGGCCTACACACTATTTAGGCTACTAACATAGTGGCTGTGACAGCAGTCCCCAAAGTATAGAAGTTAGTGTGTGTATATTATATAGTTAGATGGCCAATAAATCCTTTCAAAAGGTGGAAATTACACTGAGGTTTTATTTGCTGTGCACATAATATACCGAACTTTTTAATATAGTCTCGGGATTCTATGACTTTTAATCTCACCAACCTATTAATAGATTGCCCCTCCCCATCCCTTTTATTTTTTTTGTAAATGAATATAACAGACCCTGATTAAGATAAGAAACCAACTAGTTTAAGTCATTAACTAAAAATGAATTGTATTCAATGTAGTACAAAAGAGGTTTAAACTCACAAACTAAAATCATTGTTTCTGTGTCTTGATTGGGGGGTGATTTCTCGTCAGTGAGAGAGATTCCAGATAAGGTGTGTTCGAGTTGTCTCTTACTTAGTTTCTGTAGAGTTACTTCATGAAAGAAAGCTACGACAAATCGAACAAACCTTTAACATACTACATACTACAACTCTATTGTTTGAAATCCCAACATGGATGTGAACTGAAATCAGGGGTTAAGAAAATAAAGCTAATGTATGTAACCAAGAGTTCATTGTTGTATGCAAAGGTCCAAGATTAAAGTATTTCACTGGTTATACTGCCAGAGGCTTTCACTGTTACAGATATGTTATTTACAATGTCTTTGTTCTTTGAAAACAAAATGTACATGAAACAATAATTGCATTTGGAAATAACACGAGGATAAGAAACTAACGCTATTAGTTAACTTTCGAGCATCATCAATATCTGAAGAGTCGACAACAATTTCATATTGTTGTCTGTATCGTTACTTTTAAGAGTTAGCTCCCATTGACCATAATTTGATAGGTGTAGACAAAGGTCGTTCGGTATTGCTCTCACTTCTGGGCTTCAGAGGTGTGTCTGCAATTGGACACTTTTGATCAGGTCGAACGTTCCACTGACATTTGTTTAAAAAAATCTGATCAATCGTTAGGTTTAGTTAAAACGGAGAATACCGAGTACATTTCTAGTACTTCTGAAGTCTATTTACATATATTCAAGATTAAAACCACCCCCCAAAATTACACACCTGTCCCTTAACATAAGAGAACACTGCTCTAACACTGTGTTAGCAGTCCGACTAAAAAGCGCAAACAAGGGCTAACAAGCGCAAACAAGTGTTAATACCGCAAACAAGCGTAAATGACGGTAAATATGCATATACAATATGAATTATATATATCGGTCGATATGTGGAAGCGATTGCCCACTCTGTGCTTCAAAGAAATCGGCCAGATAAGGGTAAGATTTACGTGTTATGAAATTGATGGTAAAGAGGTACCCAAGCTATTTTGAGCATCGTCTGAATATTTGCCAGCTGATATGCCTCGAGTATATTGTCAGCAAAACCTTCCATAGACACATTCAATGACTAGCTGGAAAGATAAATCCATTGAATTCAATTATTCCAAATGCAATGGCGGTTAACAACCTCATAACAGTTTTGTTGATCTGTACACACCCCTTTTTATGACAAAACTGAGTAATTACTACACTTTCAGGTGTTAATCCTACATTAATTGCCTGTCCGTTAGATTCTCTTGAATTACCGCTGCTAACATTCTTATGCTTCAAACAAATTTCGATTATCGAGACACTATTCAAAACAGTTTACTATTTTTTTTTGGAATAATAATACTTTATTCGTAACAATCTGGTGTAAGATGTAATAGTTCTTGTCAAACAGCATTAAAGTGATCCAACCCTGACCAAATCATTGAATTTTTGTTGGAAGTGATGACCAGTGTCAGTTATAGTCCAAGTTATTCACACCAACATGTACTTTTTAAATTGCAAGTTGCATACCAAGAACATTGTTTGCTTGTGTATGATTATTTGCCCTTTGTTTGCGCTTGTTTGCACTTGTATGCTCTTGTGTGCGATTTTTAGTCGAACACCTGTGTTAGTGTCTTATGTAGAATAGTAACTTGTTACCTTTCAATTGCCTAATAACTAAGTGTACGACTCAACGTGCCTCCATGATAGTTTTTGAACTATTTATTATTTAAACAGATAGAAGACCAATGCAGACCAGATTTACATTATACTTGGCTTTATGTCAATACTTTCTCTATGTGTTAAACGTTCTCCAACTGAACAGCCCAACCCTTCAACATCAACAAGACTAATCGTATTGTATCGTCTTCTCTTCAATTTATTTAGTAAAGCGGGATTTACCAAGGAGGACGTCTTTCGCCAGTCTTTTTGACGTTGTGAGTTTAGGACTGAAACTTTAACTTGCTCTGTTTCTTGCCAAAGCAAAACAAAATTTCACAATGATTCACAGAATAATTTTCACTCTGACAGGTAAGAATGTTAAAGAATTTGTTTTTATAGGGAGGGAGGGGGGTGGGGGGTTGTGGTAAGGTCTACAAGATTTGTCTAAGAGGTAGGAGTCACTTAACTTATTGAAATGACTAACAAATGACTTAACAAAATCTAAAATGCTATCATTCACTAAAAAATTAAAATCTATTTTATGGCAAATCTGTATATAAGCTACGTGGACTCTCCAAACTGTTATATACTAATTTCTAGAAGAGGGAGCTTGCCCTGGACTCACTCTGCAGGAACTAAAGCTTGAACTCAAATTCAATAACGATTTTCTCTTTGTTCCTCACCGAAAAAACCTCAATGTAATTGACATGGTGTATGTGACACCATTCCACAGTGTCAGATTAATTGTTTAAGTAATTAAAAATACATGTCAATTGAAATACACTTAAACTATAGTTCATCATTGCTTGATAAAGACGGAAGAACCTTCGTCGAAACGTCGCAAGATATTTTATTATAGTAATCGTTATCCATCTATATTGTGTATAATAACGAAATAAAACCATGAGTCCTATCCTTGTACATCCTTCCATTGTCGGAAGAAACTGGAAAATCACGACATCTTGGAAGTGGTATTAAAGAATTTAAAAAAAAAAAAAAAAAAGCTTAAGTAAAGTAAAACTTTGAATTCTGATAAGGCTGCATTTTCATTTAAAATTTAAAATGGAGTTTCTGCTTTAAGAGGTAATGATTTGTTTTGTAGAATAAATATTTCGACCGACAAATTGTTTGCCAGTTCCCTTTTAAACCTTATATGAAATGAAAATACGACACGCTTTTATGAGTGGACAAAGAAAGTTTCTTATAATAATCAAAAAATGTCCAAATTTTGAAAGAGTATCATTTATCAAAGCCTACGTTACTGACAAAAGCCTATACCCAAATGAAACTGAATCGCCCCCGTATTTTATAATACTTTTTTTTATATATTTTGCTGCTGTACATTTCATTTTTTTTTTATCATACTCAGAACAAAAATAATATCAGAGCGATTTGTAATCACGACAGTATTCCTGAGAAAATGAACATCATGTGTACGTGTACTCTACACTTATTTGTAGGTTAAATATCAATACCAACCTATAATCATTTTTGATAGAATTTTTAAAGTAGACTGTTCTAGATTAGAAGTAAATAGGAAAAAAGAAATTTGAAGTATATTCTCAATTAAATTCATACACGACGCCCAAAAATACACAGTGAAAGCATATAAGAAGACAACTGGTTTTGTTCTCTAATTCAATGTTGAGTACACTATTGTTGACTAAGGGTGAGCTCACACCAAACACTTAAGAATAAAGAATTTGTATAGACCTGTATGTATGTCGATCTCCTTACTTTTTACAAATTTATTTAATTGCGAGTAAGAACATCTTCTTTTCGTGACTTTCGACATCTATTTTTAATTCTTTAGACTAATTCGTCATAAAATAATTTTGTCACAAAAGATTTGCATATTAATTGACATGATATGAAATATTCGGAAAAGATATACACTGTGATAATAATAATGAATAATCTATATTTCAACAGATAACATTAGCAATACAATTTTGTCTCAATATTTCTTTAATTGCTATTTTCATTGACTACCACTTCATGTTACCCTTCTACAAAAATACATTATAGGACTATCATCCATTATATCTACGATTGAGCAGCACAATTTATTTTGACTAATTAAAATCATTATTTTAAGGATTAAATATATGATTGAAGCAGGGGCCTATGCCAATGTCTATAAATCTGTAAATCAATAAATGATTCGTCTAAAAATGAAGAATGATTGGTTGATTTCTTGAAATTGTTAACATCATTTCTATTAACAATGTTAATCTATGTAATCGCATGTCAATATCCTATACTAACAGGATTAACAAACAATCAATTGTATTTAAAAGTTAATATTTGTTTCAAATCGAGCATGTTAAAAATTACAACAACCCACTTCTCTTTGATGAACGATTCTGTGGAATTTTCTTTCTGGTAAAAAGATGTAAGCTTGAAAAAATACAATTTAATATCTTTTTGGTATTTTTGTATTGTTCAGATGACAATACAATCTAACATATTATGCATATTATCATGACTCAGAAGATTTGTTGATACTTTGCTATCTTTTTCAAGTCTGTTTGAAGAGAGTAAGATTGAATTTGGATAGGTTGGGCCAAAATATTTTGACAATTCGATTGATTTTCTTTTGAAGAGATTTTATTTATTTCTTATAAAACATACATTAACTTATCAACTTTCAATATTATATTTACCATTGCCTTTTGTTGAGATAAAATTTTACTTGTACCTTCTAGCCCTTGGGAACAGTCGAATTCCTTTCTAAGATGCCACAAAATCAAGGCCCTTTCCCACTGACACCGAAACGGAAACGGAAACGAATCCCTACCGAAAAAATAAATTGCTTATAATGGTCACCATCTTTCCAACATAAGCGAAACCGTTAAGTAAGACGAAAACGAAAACATGCACGAATTCAATTTTCGTTTGCGGCAGTTATTTATGAGCTGATAGCAGCGTCATGATTTGTTGCCTTATTTATTATATTATTGTCTTAGCTCATCCAAAATGGTCGTCCATTTCTTTTTGAGAAAATAGTATAACTCTGTGATATAATATTCTTGGAAATTTGTAATGAGAAGAGGTATATATTGTACAATGTCCATGTATTGCCATCGTTCCTGTTCACTGGAAAACCGGCACAAATATGGTGCAAGTGTGAAAGGTCTTCTGAAAACGAAAATATTTTTTCGTTTTCGTTTCTGTTACGTTTTCGTTTCGGCATAAGTGGGAAAAGGCCTTTAAATTTTGTTAAATATTGCTACTTATCCGAACAACTTAAATTATTCGCATTTCCGGCACGTTGTACAGACTTCAGTAATTTGTGCAGTAGAGCTGTGTTTATACGTTTTGCAAGCTGTTAGCAAGCACGACTGAATTAAAGGGACAGATTCACCATCCGACTTTTCGTTAAACGGGAATCCTTTTAGCTAAGCAAATCAGTAATAGTGTGCACAGCTGACCGTCGAAATTTGAGCCTTCAAACCCATGTCCGTGTTTGGTATTGTTTTGAAGATTATTTACATATCCAAGACCCAAATCAACCCCCGAATACGGTGAGCTATAGCCTTTAAATCTTGCCATTGGTCAGTAATAGTGAGTCGATAATACAGTAATTCATTTAGGAAAGAGTCTAATCTGTATCTATAGCTATCTCGACTTGTTCTATTTGATGATCTGGAGAGCGACTATAGCCAGTATTAGACGAAGTTATTGATCCCTTGACCAATGTTTTTCTATGAAATTCTGTGTCACATAACTTATTTGTATCTATTGTTTTGTGGTCTTGGTTGTGTACATCGAATAATACAAAATAATTTAATATTGGATAGACGTGGATTGGACAAGGAAGTTGAATTTAGATCAAAACCCCGTTTGATTACAAAATATGCTCAAAGTGTTAACGCGGAAAAGCTTCCACGTGGCAGATACTGTGAGATTATCCTTTCTCCCACTGAACAGGGGCGATTACGATACGACTCTAGATCATGACCAAGGGGTATAAATGTTTTCGATTACTGCTAGAGTAATAACCTGGTTCAGCGACAAGGCAAGTGTTAGAAAAACTGAAGAAAGATATAAATAAAAACCTGTAAAAAGAAGTGAACAATGACAAGATTGCAAGCGAGAGGGCGACATTAGCCAAAAAGATTTAACGGAATATCTTTGATCTTTGTTTAGGAAATAGTCAACGATTCACATCATTTTTGAAATAACCGAAATTATTCTATTTTTTGAAATCAACTCGAAATAAGTTTTCTCGCGTGGTATGTCCATCAGATAACTATGCAACAATTCTTTAGCAGCACCATACTTGTGTTATGTTTTTGTGCTGCATTATGATGGTAATGATAATCGATATAGTGATATTCAATACTCTATTTCAGTTTCTTAAAAAAAAAAAGTTTTTTTTTAATTTTCAGCCCTGGTTATGGTTAGCATGGCTGCAGATCTTCCTGAATCTGGTAGCAGCTGTGATCCCAGTAGTGACAGTCAAACAATAGTTGACTCTGATGACTGCACCGTATTTGTTAAATGTGTCACAAATCAAGATACTGGTGAAGCCAAATGGATCTCGTCCAAGTGTATAGATGGAACAATTTACAGTGCAGAGAAAGGAAGATGTGATGCTTATATTGGTGATAATGCATGTCAAGGTAATTATTTCATCAAGAATTCTTCTTTCATGTCAATGTCAATGCTTGACCATCTAAAATTCACTCTTGGTTGGTTTCGCGTAGTTTAGCATAGCAATACACTAAAATGATTAATTATTCCTGTAGTGGTATACACCAAATACACGTCTTAATTATTTGGGATCTGCAAAGGGCTTTCCGAGATGACAAAGATACCACATAACACATGCCGGAAGGTTGAGCCAACCACTCGTTTAAGGACCTCAAGCAACAAAACCCTAGATTTAACCCTAGTCAATCGTAGTGTCACTTTCTTTCCATAAACTTCTGTTATTTCTAGTGCTTTTCAACAGATTAATTCAGTTTCTCTTTTAATATCTTTGTTCTTAATTCGCACAGACCATCGCTTTTCTTTTTCTGTATAGTCCCACTGATAGATCTTTATCTTCTTGCCTTGGGTGAGTATTCTCTACATTGGCTTTAATTGCTTCACTAAAGCTGGCATCTAGTTTTCTCACTATGCGTCTCAAACTAGTTCTTAGCATATTTTCTATTTCGACTTTAGAATTTGAACGTAATGTCACATTTAAAAGAACTTTCAAGTGTTGCAGAACTTAGACATAATCTCGAAAAATCATAGTTCCTGCAACATTCTTCAATCGGTATTAAATCAATTATTATCATTAAAAATTTGTCCTTGATATATAGTACTGGTATAATAATCGAGTAAGGAATTTCAAGTTAAACATACTGACGACTAAATTTAAAATTTGAAGTTCTTTTTTTTCTTGTGGCCGTACACCACCAGATGACTTTAATATTACTTCATTAATTTCTATTTTGTTGTAGGTTACACAAAACCAGCACCATCAGGAAGAGATATCCCAGCAGGTAAGTACAAATAGACCTTATCATCAAATAATATAAGATAAGATAAGATCAGATCAACGACATTAACATCTGGCCTCTGCACGCAGTATCTGCGGATTTCCCCTGTCAGCTGGGCAGACCGAGACAATAAGTGGAGGCCTTGTGTGGGCGTGGAAAATCAGAAAAGTGTAGGTTTATTCTGTTGTCCCAGTAACCACGATTTGTGCCATTAAAGCAGTTTTCTTAAAGATTTCTCTATTTTTAGGATGCGAAGACAATTTCCTGTGTCCAAATACTTTAGCATTTTACGTCTACCCAGATTGGCAAGATTGTACAAAATATTATGTTTGCCAGAGTGGGGCGGTTTCCAATAGAAACTGTAATGCTTTTGATGGATTAACATACTATTCTGCAAATGATTATGCATGTGTATCATCGTCTGCTGGAACTGGTGTTTGTCTTAATGGTATTCCTGCAAGGCCTTAAGTTACAAATATAACAGATTTTGATGCCATTATCTTTCTTTTCCACTTTTAAATTTTATTTGAATCAGCACAGCATTAGAATATTCAATACACTAAATAAATTCAATAATTTACCATTCTGAAAATGAATATACAATTGCATAATATTTTACTATTGCTCACATTAAGTTCTCTATATTCATGTTTTATAAAATCCATTGTATTTATTTGTCCAGTATGATATACGACTAAACAGTAAATAAATCTTTCTTCTGAATAGCGTGTGATGTTTTCCCCTTTTATCGCCTATTTCATATCATTCCAAATTGAGAAAATCTCGACAATGGCCTTGCTGCATTCCAATCGTTTCC